CGTCGTTTAAATGTGGCGAAATTTTTTTTTTTTTTTGCGGGTAGTTTAGGAAAAAAAAAAAAGCGAAAGCGAAAGGAAAAGCGGAGTTTATAAAAAAAAAAAAAAAAAAAATATATATATATATATATATATATATCACTTCGAACCTTTTTTTATCATCATCATCATTATTATTATTATTATTATTATTTAAAATTTATGGAAAATCCAAAGTTGAAATGTCACGTTTGAGATTTTCAAAATAAAATTAAATGACGCGGCGCGGTGTCCCGTGGGACTCCGTTTGAAAATAATTTTTTCCATTCAAACGTTTGACTAATAATTAATGCTTTTCGGTTAACGAGCTTTTACGGAGGCTCTTTGCTGTGCGTGTGTGCGTGCGTGTGCGTGTGCGTGTGCGTGTACGTGTACGTGCGTGTAAACTTTCACCACTTTTTGCTGTTTGTCGTTTGTCGTTTTCGCAACATTTAATAATAAAAAAAAAAAAAAAATACATATTTTTAATTTATGGATGTTTATATATATATATATGTAAATTCGCGTGTGCGTGCGTGCGTGTTTGCGGATTAAAAAAAAAAAAAAAAAATACGCTTTCGACCGCACTCACGCACGCACGTTAAATGCGAGAACGGTCGACTTAACCTCTTTTGGTTAAAAAAAAAAAAAAAAGGTGGAAAAAGTTTTTTTTTTTTTTTAATTCGAAAAGTTTTCCCATCCGTTTCACCAAACCCTTTTTGGTTTTACTTTGTTTTTCGTTTTTCATCTCGTTTTTCAAAAAAAAAAAAAAAGAAATTTAATTAACAGTAACAATGATGATGATGATAATAATAATAATATATTTTATCCATGCAGACATTTACCAGGGTTCGCGAATGCACGATGACTTCCAGAGGAACCTCCATGTTCTACACGGTGGAGGTTGGAGACACCAAATTTACTATATTAAAGAGGTATCAAAACCTCAAACCGATCGGATCCGGGGCTCAAGGAATCGTTTGGTAGGCTTATATTCACATTTATTATCATTATTATTATCATTATTATTATTTCATTATTGTTAGAAGTAATGTAGAATTTGAATGAAGAAAAGAAAAGAGGAGAAGAAGAAGAAGAAGAAGAAGAAGAAGGATTACAGATTTTTTTTTTTCTTTCAATTATTTATTTTTGATTACATTATTTGCTTATTATTATTATTTTTTTGTATCTATTATTATTATTATTATTATTGCTTCATTTTTTGTTTTTCTTTCTTTTTTTTTTTTTTTTTTTTTTTTTTTTTTCTGTTACAGATATTGTTGTAATTTATGATCGGCATGATTTTCAGTGTTAGTTTTTTTCTTGGGTTAATTTTTAGACAGTTTTTGCGTTCATTCCAGTAAATATATAAAAAAAAAAAAAAAAAAGAAGAAGAGATATATTTATATATAGAGAGAGAGATAGAGATAGAACCGCCATTTTTTTTTTTTAAAACGCACACGCGCTGACATACATACATACATACACATACACATATACACGCATATATTTTTTTTTTTTTTTGTTACTCTTAATCTCTCGCGGTAGTTGTTTTTTTTTTTTTTTTTTTATGTTGTACATTTTTTTTTGTTGTTGTCAAGTTGGATAACTTTAGCATGACTACAGAATTCTACACGGTTCAATTTGGCGATACCGAATTTACGGTACCTTCGCGTTATAAAAATTTGCAGCCGAGGGGTATCGGAGCTCAAGGAATGGTCTGGTAAGTGTGAAGTGGGGAAAAAAAAAAAAAAAAAAAAATCAAATATGGCGCGAGTACTAACACTAGCTATAAATAAATAAATAAATAAATAAATAAATGATTCGTCTTTTATAAGGTAACGTATTAAAATTGCATGAATATTAATATTAATTGCACGGGGATGCGAATGAGAAAAAGATTTTAATAAATAGAAGATAAATTATTTATTTATTTATTTATTTATTGTGTATTTTTTAGCGCTGCATACGACACCGCGACGAAACAAAATGTGGCGATAAAAAAATTAAGCCGTCCTTTTCAAAACGTTACGCACGCGAAAAGAGCGTATAGAGAATTTAAGTTAATGAAATTGGTAAACCACAAAAACATAATAGGTTTGCTAAATGCGTTCACGCCTCAGAGATCCCTAGAAGAATTTCAAGACGTGTACCTAGTGATGGAACTCATGGACGCAAACTTGTGCCAAGTGATACAAATGGATTTGGATCACGAGCGTATGTCGTATTTATTGTATCAAATGCTCTGCGGTATCAAGCACCTTCACTCGGCCGGAATAATACACAGAGATTTAAAACCGAGCAACATTGTCGTGAAAAGCGATTGCACGTTGAAAATCCTAGATTTCGGACTCGCTCGAACGGCTGGCACGACGTTCATGATGACTCCGTACGTCGTCACGAGATACTATCGTGCTCCCGAAGTCATTTTGGGAATGGGATACAAGGAAAATGTTGATATATGGTCCGTCGGATGCATAATGGGTGAAATGATAAGGGGCGGCGTTTTGTTTCCCGGATCTGATCATATTGATCAATGGCATAAAATTATCGGTGAGTATCGATTTGGGTGTGGGGGTGTGTGAGAGGGTGCGTGCGTGCGTACTCACACGTTTTGTTTTTTTCTTTATATATGCAGAACAATTAGGTACGCCGTCGCAAGAATTCATGGCGAGGCTTCAGCCCACTGTGAGAAATTACGTGGAAAACAGGCCGAGATTTCCCGGGTATCCGTTCGAACGACTTTTTCCCGACGTTTTATTTCCCTCGGATTCGTCGGAACACAGCAGGTTGAGAGCGAGTCAGGCGCGAGATCTTTTATCGCGGATGTTGGTCATTGATCCGGAGAGAAGAATATCCGTCGACGATGCTCTTCTTCATCATTACATAAACATTTGGTACGACGAGGGAGAAGTGAACGCCGTGAGTTTTCCCTTTCTTTCATTTCCGGTTTTCTCTCTTTCTCTCTCTCTCTCTCTCTCTCTCTCTCTATCACCATCATCATGCTATCCCTAATGTTGATTATTAATTTTTTTAGCCGGCTCCCGGTCCGTACGATCATTCGGTCGACGAAAGGGAACATACGGTCGAACAATGGAAAGAACTCATTTACCAAGAAGTCATGGATTACGAAACTTCCGTGAGTGGAGGAGGAGGAGGAGGAGCCGCCGTCGTCGTGGTAGAAGACGGCGAAGAAATCGTCGATGGTCAACGTGGCGGAGCACGACGGTAGACCCGGTCCGGAATTTTTTTTTTTTTTTTTTTCTCTCGCCGGAAGAAAGGATTCCATTTTTTTTTTTTTTTTTTTTTTTTTTTTGTTGATTTCGAAAGAACATTCGCATTTATACAGACGTTAGTAGGAAGAAAAAGAAAAAATGACAGATGAGGAAAAAAAGGGGAGAATATTTTTATATATATATATATATACATAGATGCGAGTTAGACGGAATAATGCAATCAAAAGTAAAAAGTTAGAAGAAGACGAAGAAGAAGAAAAAACACAAAAAAAAAAAAAAATAATAATAATAATAAATTTTCACGTGTTTCCGTTTGTGTAATAATAATTAATAATAATAATAATAATAATAATAATGATAATAATACCATAAATTTTGCCCTTGTTTTCGAATTCGTTTTATTTTTGAGTCGTACAAATCGATATTCGTAGAGTAGTTGATCGATCAATCGATCGATACGCCAACGATAAATTAATTATTATTATTACTATTATTATTATTTTGGTTTTTTTTTAGATCCCTGCTCAATGTGTAAAGTAATAAAAGAATTTTCCCCTTTTTTTTTTTTTTTTGGTTTTTTGTATTTTGCTCGCGGACGGTGCGAATCGAATCGAGGGTCGGCATAATCATCATCGTCATCGTTATCATTATCATTATCATTATCATTATTATTATCATTTGACGCCGACGAATCCGATGAATTATTTGCTCAAATCGGTTTACGTTGTCTTTCAGGTTAAAAAATGTTCCTCGTTCGTCGAGGATTTCGTACACATAAGACAAAAGAAATTGTGTTGGGGAGAGGGAGGGGGGGGTGAAGGGCAAATATAAAATGTTTGTAAATAAAACCAAAAGAAAAATCATTGATAAAAAATGATAAGAAAGAAAGACAGAAAGAAAATTTTTTTTTTTTTAAAATTTTAATGAGTTAGATTTAATATGTATATATATTGCCTTTCCCATAAAAGAAAATAGAAAAAAAAAATGGCGCGCATTAAAAGTGAAATGAAATTATCTTCAATTAGCATAGGAATAAATAATAATAATAATAAATAGTTAATAAAATAGTTATTAATAAAAATTCATTTATGAAACAATGAATATCATTTTTTTTTGGGGGGTGGGCAGGGCAGGGCAGGGGGAGGTTTTGTCGTTAAAAACAAAAAAGATGAAAATGTTAAATGTAATAAATAAAATCAATCAATCAAACGCGTCGGCGGTATTTAAAAATAATAATAATATTAATAATATAGTTTCAAATAATAATAATAATAATAATAATAATAATAATAGTGATAATAATTCATAAAACAAGAACAACAACAATAATTGTAAATAAAATTGAATATAAATAATATTTAATTAATAATAATAATAATTTCAAATGGGAAATAAGAAACGTGTTAAAGACAAAAGGAGGAGGAGGAGGAGGAGGAGAAAGTGAGAATTAATAATAATAATAATAATTAAAAACCGGTGTTGGATTTGTCACCTAACACGATTGTTTTATAAGCTTTAGTGAAAATTTCTAGAAAAATAAAAATGGCAAAATTATTGGGTAGGGTACGTGCAAATGTCGGAGTTATACCTTTCCAAAGTGAGAAAAAACCTTCTTGTTTAATTATTTTCATCCAAACGTCAACCATGTTTGAATATTCGGGTTTTCCATCGATCATTTTCATCGACATGATTCTGAGGGAAAAGGAAAGGAAAGGTTGTGAATGTGGATGTGCACGTGCGCACGTGTATCATGCATAAAAATAAAATGATGCTTACCTTGTTTTAGTTATGTCGATGGGAGCTGTAGCTATGGATGATATCATGGCAGTCCAAATCGAACAAATTATGTGAAGAAGTAAATTATCATGGAAAGCACCTGAAAATAAAAATTTTTTTTTTTTTTTAATAAATGTATCGATGGTAATAATAACAAATAATATATATAAATATGTAAATCGAACCGGTTCTAAGTAAAATAATTTTAGTATTTTTATAAAGAACAATTTGTGTAACGTTTAAAACCATGCATCTCAACATGGCGGGTTTAACACCGGTTAAAAGTGCTGAAGCACCTTCTTCATTAATTATTCTACTAATTGCATTGAAAACGTGTTTATATTTTCTTCTTTTTTCCGGTGGATAAGCACCATCAGATGACATACGAACAAGAGCTATCTGTAAATAGAAAAAGTATTAATTAATTAATTTGTCATATGAATTATGTATAATAAGATATCAATTAGACTCACATCAGCAGGATTACCAACAAAAGCACCAACAGCACCACTTAATAAACCAGTTAAAATTTGTACTGTAATTGGTGGAGGTGTACCATCTGCCCTAGAAAAAAAAAAAACAAAAAAAAAAATTCATTATATGTTTTTTTATATTGTGTGCGTGTGTGTTGGCAATATTGAAATGTAGGAGCAAAAGATATCCTACGCTGTATATTTATCAACAATAACTGAATAAAGTCCTAATCTTGTCATTGTTAATGTTAACTGACGAAATACACTTGCTGATAAACCATTATATATGGCCAATATCCCTTCTTGGCTTGCTATATTGTAAACAGCATGAACTGATGTTTTATGGATTTTTTCTGATCCTCCTTTACCACTTAATTGCATTCTATATTTGACAAGATCAAATGGATGACTTATAAATGAAGCTCCCCCCCTAATAAAAAAGAAAATCACAAATTTTATTTATATAAAATAAAAAGAAAAACTTTTTTTTATGTGTGTGTGTGTGTGTGTGCCTTACCCTGACAAACCTGCTATTGCAAATCTTACATAACTTGGAATTTTTTTATCAATCGAAGTCATTTTTTATTTTAAATTAATAAATCATTAATATGTTTATAATTAAATTTTTTTTTAAATAATATTTTACACATTTGTCCGCATGAATAATTATTATTTTTATACATTTTTTATTAACTCATCAGTACAATAACAAATAACCGCCATTTTTTTTTTTTTTTTTTTTTTGTAAATTTACAAAGAGAAAATAAAAAAAAAAAAAAACTTATTCATTTTTGTTTATATTTATCATATTTTAAAATGATATTAATTTTTTTTTTTTAAAACAAGAATTTCATTGATTTTATACATTAATTACAAAAAAAAGAAAAAAAATTAATTTTTAATATCATTTTAATAAATTAATTTGATTGTCTAACGGTTTAATTCAAAAAGTAATAATAATAATGTAAATATATAATAAATTAGTTGGATTCGTAATGAAATTTTAAATATTATAGTTTTTTTTCTTAAACAAAAGTTTTTTTATACAAAAGTAATAAATTATCATTTATTATTATATGAATTTAAATGTTTAACTTTTGAAAAAAGTTTTTAAATGAATAAATCAGTTGTACTGTTTCCGGTTTTCGGAAAGGAAACTCTAAAAAACGGAAACGGTCGCGTAAGAGGTGACTGCCGAAATTTAACTTTATAATTACTGTGTGCCCTTCAAGTGACATACACTCGTAGTCTGGCATCGGAGTTGTAGTTATCGTTCACACCTAGTAAGTTTTATGTTTTTTTTTTTTTTTTTTCCTTTTTTTTCTTTTTAATCTGCCATATTTTATTGCATTTTAACGATAACCGTTGCTTTATTATTATTACTATATTAATTGAAAGCTTGAAAATTTAATTTCATTTAGATTATATACATATATAGAGTGAAAAGTAAAATTGACGAAAATTTAGTTTTAAATTTCAAGTAGTTTTTTTTTTTTTTTTTATTAATAACTGTTATAAATCGTGATTATAAGAAAAGTATAATATTTTTATTAATTTTATAATATTCGATGCTTTTCCGAGTATATTTTGTACGATTGTTGCATCTCGCCGATTGCACGTAAGGGTGAGAGTTTTGACCTTCAGTTGACCTTATTCACTTATTATAATTACAGTTTATTTTAAAAAAAGAATTGAAAATGTCGAAAATTGGAATAAATGGTTTTGGTCGTATTGGTCGTCTCGTTTTAAGAGCATCGATTGAAAAAAATGCACAAGTCGTTGCCGTCAATGACCCCTTCATTAATTTAGATTATATGGTGTACATGTTTAAATATGATTCGACTCACGGACAATTTAAAGGAAATGTTTATTCAGATGGAAAGAATCTTGTCGTTGAAAAAGTTTCTGAATGCGAAGATGGAAAACAAGTTGTTAAAAGCAGTTAGTATTGATTATTGTGCTTTTTTTTTCTAATTCTATTAGTATTATTACATGACTGTGATTAATTTGTTTGTTAGAATATGTCATTCAAGTATTTTCCGAAAGAGATCCAAAAGCAATTCCTTGGAAAAGTGCTGGAGCTGAATACATAGTAGAATCGACTGGAGTTTTTACAACTGTCGAAAAAGCCTCTGCTCATTTAGAAGGAGGTGCTAAAAAAGTAATCATTTCAGCTCCCAGTGCAGATGCACCCATGTTTGTTGTTGGTGTTAATTTGGATGCATATGATCCAAGTTACAAAGTTATTTCAAATGCATCTTGCACAACAAACTGCCTTGCTCCATTAGCAAAAGTTGTTCATGACAACTTTGAAATAGTAGAGGGTTTAATGACCACAGTTCATGCTATCACAGCCACTCAAAAAACAGTCGATGGACCTTCAGGGAAATTATGGAGAGATGGACGTGGTGCTGCTCAAAATATCATACCAGCTTCAACTGGAGCTGCTAAAGCTGTCGGTAAAGTGATTCCTGCTTTGAATGGAAAACTGACTGGTATGGCATTCAGAGTGCCTGTTCATAATGTTTCAGTAGTTGATTTGACTGTCAGGTTTGTTTAATAATTTAACATCATCTGTTTCTCCATTGACACTTATCAATTCATTCATTAGAATAATTCATTAATAATTTTATTAGATTGGGCAAACCGGCTACATATGACGCCATTAAAGAAAAAATAAAAGAAGCTTGTGCTGGACCATTATCTGGAGTTATGGCTTACACAGAAGATGAAGTTGTTTCATCTGATTTCATTGGAAGTAAATATTCATCTGTATTCGATGCCAAAGCTGGTATACAGTTGAATGATAAATTTGTCAAATTGGTATCTTGGTACGACAATGAATTTGGTTATTCCAACAGAGTTGTCGACCTCATCAAATACATTCAAACAAAGGATAACTAAAAAAAAAAAAAAAATTATTTTTTAAATGTGTGAAATCTCAGTATGTCAGTCAAATTTATGTTACACATAATATTTTGTAATTTATTACAATTAAAATAAAGTAATATTATTTTTCAATTTGATAAAATTGATTTTTTAAATTTTAAACTCAAATAACTGAATAATGTTTGTTAGAATTGTATCAGAAAATCGGAAAAACGGTTAAAGTTTATAATTACACTTTTAAAACAGGTAACATTTTTTTTTCATCATCAAGAACTCGAACATGATTTAAAAAAAAAAATCTGGAATACAAGTATTAAACCTAAAATAATTAGAAATTGTTTTTAACTCGAAAATTACCGTTAAACTTTTACTTTAAAATATTAATTTTAATTTAAATAAAAAGATCAAAATTAATACAACCGTAAAAAAAAAAAAAAAAAAAAAAAATGCCGGCTACGTTGGATTATGCATTTTTAAAATAGTCCCTTAATTTGTTGTTTTGTTTTTTACCGATAGAACGGGTGCTAAGCATTTCCACCGCCTTGTATTAAAAAAAAATTTTTCGTTTTCCGACGAGTAAGATAGCCATTAGTAGTGAGTTCTACTACCTGACGAGTATGTAATCCGGCATCACACAAATCGTTTATTTTAACAAAAAAAAATCATTTAATAATTTTGAAATGAATTTATAAACTGTGTTAAAAAACAAACAATCAATTTATTAAGTTTTTTTATTTATATACGATATGAGTAAACGGTAATTTAAGTGATAATTACGACTTTTTTTTTTTTCTTGTGTATGTGTGTGTATGTAAAAATTTTCAATCAAAATGATTTCGTCGTACCTGAAAAATTTTTTTTTTACATACATTATTTATTGTTTTTTATTTTCAACCGGTAAGATTATTTTTTACTAACGTAAATTTATAAATTTTATTATTATTTTTAAATATTAATTTTAAAAAAAAATTAAAAAATCATTCAAATGATTAACCGAGTGAGGCACACCTACTTTTAGGTTGAAATTTATTCTATTATTATCATCATTACGATCGTTTTGAAATTTTACAAAATGGGGGAGGGGGAAATTAAATAATTAATTTTTTTTCTTAAATTTTGGCGGTAAATTAATAATATATTTTTCTTTTCAAATTTCCCGCCAAAAAACAAACAAATTTTTTATATAGTTGATTGCATAAAATGTTATCGTTGTGAAAGTATTGATACCCAACATAAACCGTATCAGTGTAACGAATATTTTGACGATTCCAATTTGGAACCTGAATCCTGTGACGATGTTCACAACGCACAATATTGCATCAAACAAATTGGAAATTTTGAAGGTACGATAATCGTTTGATAATTTTTTATTTAAACACTAATGATGATTTTTTTTTTTTCCTTTTCTTTTCTCTTTCTCTCTCTTTCTTCCTTTCTCTTTCTCTCTCTCTCTCTCTCTTTTCTCTCTCTTAATGCGGCTGTAAAATAAATAAAAAAAAGTTATGGGGATTAATTGCTTTCAATGCTCTTCTGCATGGAATATTTCCTGTACTGATTTATTAATATCGGATGGTACACTCCTGCCAAAACCTTGCGATTATATATACGACGCTAAATATTGTATTAAAATGACAGGTTTGATCATTATTATTATTATTATCACTAACTTTTGCCTTAAATTAACAAAAAAAACTAAACATAATAATGATAATAATTAAAAATTAACCAACTAACGAATTAACATGATTTTTTTTTTTATTTTTTTCGTGGGGAGGGGCTTTTGGTGCACCTTGATAGATCGATTAATAATAATAATAATAATAAAGATTTTTTGTGGGTTTGTTTGTTTGTTTTTAAGGGGGTCTCATGACGCGTCGTTTTTGCTCATCCCATTATTTGGGAAATTATTGCAATTATGTAAAACAACCCGGAGATAAAATGGAGTACAGATCTTGTTATTTCACTTGTTCAGGAGACGGATGTAATTCTGCACATAAAACAACGATTTCATTCTCATTTTACGCCATTTTGTTTTTCATTTTGTCTTATTTCTATTATTGACAACAATGACAACAACAACAACAACAAACTATTATCATTAAAATAAAACAAAACTTTTTTTGTTCCCCACACACACTTGTGTGTGTGTTTGTTGTTTGTGTTTTGACGACATTTTTTTAAATTAAATATTATCATTATTATTATAATATACTAAAAAAAAAATCACTTTTATTTTTATAAACATATTAATTATAATAATAATAATAATTTCAGATTTAAAAAAAAAAAAAATTATACGAAAATATATATATATATATAAATATATACAAACATATAAGTTTTCTTTCTTTTTGTTTATCATTCCTAGATGATTTCTAGGTTAGATTTTGAACATTATCATTATTATTTTAACAAGACAATACAATATGTATATATCGTTACAGTAGACAGACATTTTGTCAAGTGGAAATCATATGAGAGGTTTTTCCGATTCCGTTGTGTAGCTTTTGACTCTGGAAAACCATAGACAAGGAAATTTATTACTCATAACTTCGAAACTCGTTTTCGTTTCCGTGGTCCCCCTTAAACTCGTCACGCAATATCTTTTCCATATTAAACAATTGTTGATGCGATTTTTACGACTCACCACTTGCAATTCCTAAAAACAAAAAACGCATAAAAGTAACGAATAAGTGGAGAGATGGGGGAGTGAGGGGGGGGTTGGAAAACTCACAATGTGAAAAGTTTGCTCGATTAAATCCATGGGTATGTTGTTTTTCCTTTTCCTATACCTGTGATTTATCAAATCTTCTCTTTGTAGAATAATGAAAACTCGGTCGTCTTGCAAACGATAATGACCGGTTAAAAGTGACGGATGACGATTTTCTCTTCCTTTGAGTATGCAAGTGACCGGAGCGGGTTGATCCGGAGTCGTCAACATGTAAACGATACCCTCCGGGAAAAATCTAAAATACCTGTAATATTCCACCACGTGCCAGGGCCTGTAAAATTGATCCTGAAAACTCGTTTCCCCGTGTCTTATGTAAGTTGTTTTACTTATGTAGCAACCGTTGTAATTCAAATGTGGCCTTTTTAAAAACATGGTTCTCCAGGAATCGTAGTTTTTCAAATGTCCACAATTCACTCCCCAGACTCTGGAATGGAAAAACACGTTGTTTAGAAGGCGGTGAGAGAGAGAAAAAGAAAAATAAACAACAATAATAATGATAATGTTTTTTAAAACATTTTTTCAGTTTTCTCACTTGAGACAAGCGAGACGCCATATTTCCGGATCTCGACTGCACACGTAGAAACCTCTGCAAACCATTGAAAACATTTCAAGAGATCTTAAATCTAAATCGCATGAAACAACCCATCTCAAAATGTAAAAAATTATTTCTATAGGAAGGGAAGATATGTGAGTCGTTTTCTGTTCTTTTGCAGGCCTGCAAATGGCTTTCGTTTTTGCAATAAACCTTTGCAACTTGGTCATCAAATCCAATTTTCCATTTTCATCCTCCAAATCTTCTTCGTTTCCTTCATCATCAGTTTCAAATTCATTATTCGATTGAATATTGCTGTGTGTTTCTTCTAAAAAAAATCAAAAAAATCAAAATAAATTTTTGTTCTTAAAAATCGATTAAATCGACAGACTTTGCAATACCTTCGAGTGTTTCCCATTCGTTGACTTCTTTTTGCTTTCCCAAATAGTCGCATAATTTGAATTCAATATCAGGCACTAACTGAACTGCTTTTTTGTAATGTCGAATGGCTTCAATCAATCGACCGCTCTTTTCGTGTTCAACACCTTCGAGAAACCATTTCTTGGCGACAATTTCAATTTCGTCTTCATCTTCTTTTTCCGATTTGATGTTTTCTTTTTTAGGAAGAGGAGAAACAACAGGGATATCATTTTTAACTTGGTTACAATTGGCAGAAATATCTTTTTGCCACAATTGTCTAAAGTTTGACAATTCATTTTCCACATCCTTATGAATCTGGAAAATTTTTCTTTATCATTTAGTATCATACAAAAAATAAATAATATTTTAATTATCCTTAAGGATTTCGATTGAACACATCAAAGATCGAAGCAAATCATTCACATTGAAATAAGTCACTTTGAAATTAAATACATAAAATGAAATTATTCGATATAATACACACCGAAAAAAATTGAAAAGTGCAGCATATGGATAAAAGTAAGCTTTGTTAAAGTGACATTTTTTTTTTTTTAAAGGTCAACCACTCATTTATAAAAAGATATAAATTTTAATAAAATATTGACTTACCTTCAATTCGGATTTAAGTGGAGAAGAAGAAGAAGATGGATCTTCTTGTTCATCTCCATCAGCTGTAGATTCTGTAGAAGATGATGAATTCCCTGATTTATTGTTTGATGAAGCAGAATTTGAAAAACTTGCATTATTTACTGAATTATTTGCTCCATCTCTACACTCTGATCCTGACTGAAAATAAATAAATTTATAACGTTAAATTTAAAAAAAAAAAAGAAAAAAAACTTCAACCGTTTAAGATATTTATTATTAGAAAAAAGAGGGGAGAAGGAAAATACTTGCCAATATTTATAAAAGAAAAAAACGTAAATTAAAAAAAAAAAAATTTTTTTTTCCACTTATCGATTAAATATTAACGAAAATAAAATTATTAATTGATTAATAAAATATTTACCATTATAAAAAAAAAAGAAAAAAAAATGAAATAATTATTTTAAAGCGATAATTCTCTGTCGGAATATCTAATAACAGAACTAAAATATCTTTTAGCATTAAACACGGCAGCCATGTTTTATAACTACTGTTGTCATAATGACTGCCAACCTGTGAAAAATTATTTTGTCGTCTGTTATGAAAGGACCGTGGCTGTTATGATTGCAAGAATCCAATGTTGCATTTTATCACAAGCGAAAATTTTATTTTATTATAGACCTCCTATGATATTATGTTTTACGGATACATCAGAGGAAATTTTTTCAATATTTCTAGTGAAAAATTTTGATGATTTTAAGCGGGAATCCACCGTTTACATTTTATTTTAAGCGGGAATCCACTGTTTGCATTTATTTTAAGCGGGAATCCACTATTTACATTTATTTTAAGCGGGAATTTTAAGGAAAAAATTTTCCCTTTTATTAGGTACGTACCTAAAAATAATAATGATGACTAACTGACTGATTATAGAGGAAAATGAGATTCTTTGATAACAAAATATACGTATAAAAAAATCAATTAAATATAATATGTATTTAATTACTTATACAATGTGGATTAGAGCAAAAAAAAAAAAAAAGTTTTTACATTACTTAAATTAAAAATAAAAATAATAATAATAAATCGAACAACAAACAAACAAACAAACAAACAAACGTAATATAAATTATTTACATTAAGCACAATTATAAACAACCACGTGGGGGAAGGGGAGGGAGGGGGAGAAGGGAACTATATATATATATTTATTTATATATTTATAATAATATTGTTACCGCATCTTAAAAAATAATAATAATAATAATTAAAAATGATATACAAAATTAAAACTAAAAAAAAAAAAAAAAAAAAAAAAAAATTAAACGATTTTAAAAGGAAGACTTTTACAACACGTGTGTATTTGGGCGTGGACGTGTGGGTGTGTGCGCGTACGCTCCCAGTCGCATAATAATAATAATATATATTATAAAAAAATAAAAAAAAAAAAATTTTTTTCTCTTTACTAATTCTAATTACAATTAAATAAATACAAAAAATCGATAATAATAATAATAATAATAATGATAAGAAGAGGGAGGAGAGAGGAGAGAGGAGGAGGAAGGAGGGGGCGGGGGAAAACCAAATCGTTCGTTTTATTATTATTATTATAAGACTCCGAGAGCGAACGCACTTTTTTTTTTCTTATATAAATATTTACATAAAATCATCATCATCATTATAGTGTATCTTAGGCAGGTACAATTTCACTTATCAAAAAAAAACATAATAAAAATAATAATAATAATGATAATGATAACGAAGAGTGTGGGTGTATGATGAGAGAGAGAGAGAGAGAGAGATAGATGAGAATGACTGAAATTGAACATGTTTGAAAATTTTTAACTGAATTTCTAAGGCTTTTTTTTCCTTTTTTGATCGTGAAGGCGAAAAAACAATTGGAAAATTTTATCACTCGGATTTGTGTTTGTGTTTGTGTGTTTGTGTTTGTCTGTTTGTTTGTGAACATTCATAATGAAACATTATTAATAATAATAATAATTACATATTTATATATATATATAAATAATAATAATAATAATATTTACGTAAGCAAGTCTGCAGCTTAGGAAGGCATTGTGAGCAAAATAGTATTTATTATTTAAAAAAAAAAAAATATTATTATTATTATTATTATCATCATTTCCAGCCGAAGTACTTGCTACGAAAAACTTTTCCGACGACGACGACGACTATTTCTCGCTCGCATTTTTTGCCCATAAAAAAAGCGGAAGAAGCAAATTATTATTATTATTATCATCGTCGTAATTAAACTACCCAAAATCAAACTATAGAACCTCTCCGAGGGAAGTAGAACCGTGAAATTTGGCAGATGTCGGAGGAGTGGGCGGCACGTCGGGTATCATAGGTAAGTCGGTTGTTGTTGCTGTTGTCGTCGTCGTTGCCGGCGCCACCGTCGCACCGTCATTGTTTGTCGTCGTCGTCGTCGTCGTGTTCTTCCGATTGAATTTACCAAATCTTTTATTCGATTCCAATTGTGAGTGAAGCAAAACGTTTCTCAGCGACGATGTCTTCTCGTTCGAAACGGTTGTTTCCATTTCCACGACGCAATGATTATCCTTGTGTGGAGCGATGAAACTCACGTGATTATCAAATCTGACTCTTTCCGATGTCGAATCTTCCGTTCCCGTGGTGGATGATCCCCCGTTGTTGTCGCTGCACTGTAAAAATCAAAGAGAAAACAACCCGACGGTCAGTTTCTGGAAACGGATTTCGTAAAAGAAAAAGTACGACGAAATGATCTAACTTGTTTTTCCAGTCTCCGTCTACCTCCGGTCACTCTCCTCAACAAACCGGAAGTTAATTCTTCCAAGGAGCTAAGGGACGCAGGTCTCGTATCTTCACTTCTTTGAGAAGCGTTGTCCGCGTTTCCGACGGGTTCTCCAGGTCTGTAACTGGCCACCGAACTTGTTTCCGCCTGTTTCAAATTAAAAAAAAAAATGAAAATAATCATCGTCCGCATGCCGCATGCAACCCTTTGCACCCCCCTCCATTCATTTTAAACAAAGGCTTACTTTAAAATTTAAAACGGAACCGGCGAGTGCTCTCACGGAAGCACCTCCGTCGTCGGCAAATGACGCAGACACGGATTTTTCCGACAAGCTTGTGGCAGCCGAAGCCGTTTCGCTGCTCATGCTAAAACGTTGAGCAGACGAAACATCGACTTGAACTTCTAATCTGAAACAACATGATGATGATGATGATGATTAAAGACATTTTCGGAAACCGGAAATCGGTGGGTTTTGTTTTTTTGTTTACCTTTGAACAGCAGTTAAACCGCTGGAAGCGATGCTTCCGGCAATGCTCGCTCCAGCCAATGCAACGTTGCTCACGGATTCTCGATCGTTTTCCCTTCCGAGACGTTCCAACTGACTTCCGCTACCCAGCGAGAGGGAAGCTTCTCCAATGGAAGGATTAACGCCGCGATGACTCACGGTATCCATCGAAACGGCATCTGAATAATAATAATAATAATAACGATATAATAATGATAATAAATAACCGTAAATGAAAGAATTAATTAATTAATTTTTTTTTTTTTTTAAATGACGAACTTTTACCACAAATTATCATTATTTAATATTATTATTTATAATATTATTATAATATTATCGTTGTTTAAAAAAAAAAAAAAAAAATTAATTAAAAAAAATTCTTTTCATCTTCTCATGTCTTTTTTCTAATTCTGGAAAATCTTGGAAACTTAAACCGGGTTTCTATCTTTCTCTCTCTCTCTCTCTCTCTCTCTCTCACTCTCTCCACATAACATATACCTCATACAATTCGGGGGGGCATTTTCCAAACGCGCGCGACATTTTTTATTATTTATTTGAAAACTTTTTTTGTTTTTTTGTTTTTGTTTTTTTTCTTTTTCATTCATCTGAAAAAACGAATGAGATGAAAGTTCAAGTCGCTTTCTTAACAAGTCTTTTGTTTTTTTTTATTTATTTATTTATTGGTTTACCCGTGTTTCTGGCAGACATTTCGTTTTCGTCATCGAAATCAAATCGAACTCCGGCACCGGATGTTGATACTCCGCAACCTCCGGAACGACAAAGAGACACGGGAACAACACCGTAAACGTAAAACAAAAGTATAGGAACTCCAACGCTCACGGCAATTCCAGCCAATATTGGCGATATCAAAATCTGTAAATAATAATAATAATAATAATAATACGACGATTAATTTAATTAATTAATTAATTAATTAATAATAATAATAATTATCATTATTATTATCGGAAAGGTCACGTGCAAACGTCGTCGTGCAAAAAAGGAATCGAAATAACGTACGCAATACCATCTACGCGGATGATGAGAAAAACACATCCGAGGACCCCACCTCAAAACTAAAAAAAAAAAAGGTCAATTGTGAGATTGCGTTTGCGTTTGTCGTGTACAATTTTTTTTATTCCAGGGTTTTGTGCGAGTGACCGACTATTCGTCAAAACACAGACACACACACACACACACACGCAACAAACAAACAAACAAACAAACAAAACAAAATTATTTATTTTTCTTTCATACGTCACGCACGCGGTGGTGTTAATTTTGTAATGTTTTTGTTTTTAGTTAATTTTAACGAGTCGTGTTAACATGAATTTTCCCACGGTCGTCGTTTTCGGGAAATGACACAAAAAAAGAAAAATGATAAACGTCAGAGAACGTGTGGTTACGGAAACATGGTTGGAAACGGTATTGAAAGAATGTCACGTCGTGACAGACTCATCGACTAATGGAAACGATTCAAAAAACGTTCGACTCAACGTAAATTCGTTTAAAATAGGAAAAGGAAGTGAAAATTCCGAATCCGTTCTAAGCGAATTAATTGCCGCGTCGATAAATTATCAAATAGAGGGTGGGGGAGAGGAAAAATCTTTGGATTTGATAATAAAACTTTTACCGTTGGATCCATTCAGCAGGTATTTCGTCACCGAAGCCGAATTCGATTTGAGAGAAATTAAATTTTACACGGAGGTAAGTAAAAAACTAAGCCAAAATAAACATTACGCAAATCGTTATTATTATCATCATAACTGACAGGTCGTACCGGATTTGATGAAATTTCAAAAGGACGTGATACGCAACGATGAGGATTTGATAAAGTTACCAGTTCCAAAATGTTACCTGGGTAAACACGTGCCGTTTGACGTGTCACAAACGGGGCCGGATTCGGACGACGAAATCAACGAATCGATAATCGTTCTGGAAGATTTAAAAAAGCAAGGATACCAAAGCACTCCGTTTAAAAACGGTTTGACTTTGGAACAAGCGAAAGCCTCTTTCGTCGCCATATCTAAAATACACAGTCTGTCTTTGGCAATGAAGGTAAATAATTTTTTAGTCGACCTAGTCCTGTAGGTTTTTCGACGAGGCAAATATCATTATTATTATTATTTTTTTTGTCCAGTTGCGAGAGAGAAAAAACCTAAAGGAAAAATACGATTTCCTATTTCAAACGGAAAAAACATCTTTGTCTTATCAGCAACTCATGGAAAGGGGATTCCCGCAACTCATACTCTTTCTCGAAAGCAAAAGCGACATGAAAGACGTCATCGGGTGTTTGCACGAAATCAGACCCAAAATAAAACACCTGATTGAAGTTTTACTCGCTCCGAAACAAACCATATCCCTCATAACTCACACGGATTTTTGGAGCAATAATTTTCTCTTTAAGAAAAACGAATGCGCCATATTGGATTGGCAAATGGTTGGTCGGTGATGATGACGTGTGTCTCTTTGGTGGAAAATCAAATCCTAACCGAAATGTTTTGTTTTCATTTCCAGGTGACTTGCAGTCAACCCACGAACGATTTAGCATTGCTCATCATAAGTTCTCTGACGTCGAAAACGCGTAGAGAAAACGCGGACAAACTCCTGGAATGCTATTGGGAAAACTTCGTGGAAAATTTGAAAAGATTAAACGTCGATGCGAGCCGAGATTTAAATTACGGCCTCAGCGATTTGTTTGCGGATTACAAAAGGTCACAACTCCTCGCTTTGCTCCTGTGCATAGGAAGCATCGACGTGGCATTGAAAGATTCAGACATCGAAGAAAGGCTCATAGACGTACTCATTGATTTACACAAAGATGGAATTTTATCACCCGAATTTGTTAACAACCTTTGACCACGACCACATTCATAACATTCCGATTATAAATAAATAAATAAATAAAATTTGCAAAAAAAAAAAAAAAAATACGACTTTAAATTATTTTCACAAACGTCAAAAACGATGCCAATATAAATAATTTTTTTTTTTTGTTTAAATAATAAACAATTTCATTATTTAAACAAAAAAAAAAAATGTTAATGAATGACCTAATAATTAATCAAACACTTACCGAGGCCGTCACGCCGCCAGCAACCATTAAATTTCGCTTGTGCTTGTTTTCGCTTTCATAACGGCTGTACAGCTTTCTACCGACCCAAACGGGTATACCTGAAAAAAAAAAAAACGAAAACAATGACGTCAAAGCATCGATTCTCATTATCATGGAAATTGTTCGTTCGTAATAAGGCTCATAAAACGTACCTATTATCATGGCGGGTATGGCAATGCCAGCGACCAAACCGATGCCTACGGGAGCACCGACTAGCGTTCCCAACTGCCATAAAATTTTCTTCTTTCGCGACCAAGGTTTCTTACCCCAAAAAGTGCATCCGGAAGGGCTGAAAAACATACGAAGCGCCCAATGCATTTAAATAACTCAATGATTTTGACATAATCGATATAATTTTATTAAATCAATATCAAATAAAAACATAATATTTTGAGCGATGAGATTGCTGGGAAATTTATTCCCTCCCTTCGCTCCTCCCCTCTCTTATAAATTTCCCTGCTTTTTTCTCTTATTATTATTATTATTAAAATAATTCGAGAATGTTTTTTTTTAAAAAAAAAAAAAATCGTACCTTAAATAATGCAAATCGCTAATTTCTTTCATGCATAGCCAACAAAATTCAGCCGCGCAAACAGCGCAGGTCATATGATTACACGAACCATCGTCCATTTTTCCAATTAATACCTGACATCTTGGACAAGGTTTAATATCATCTTCTATTTAGAACAAAAAATAAATTTCTCAGTTAAACATGACGTCGCCATAAGTACTAATCGTACCAAAATTCAATGTCACCCCTTACTGTGTTGCGAATCCTGACTAAAGCTGACGGACGAGGACCTAACGTTAAGAGATCTTTGAGCTTTTGCGGCATTACAAGTTTGATTCGGATGCCATTCCGCTTTGCAGTGGTAGCAGAAATAAGAATCGCAACCTGGACGTTCGCAACGAATTTTCGGACAACTTGCACATCCGGCTGCTATCACGGCAAAACCGCAATCCGGTGCTGGACACCACCTCGTGTCGGGATCTATTGCGAGAGCTCGTCTCAACGTGAAGTCTTCATATTTTTCGTACAAGTGTTTATCGTTGAGAATCATTCTTATATCTGTGTGTGTGTGTGTGAGAGAGAGAGAGAGTTTAATCCTCTGTTCAGTGCTTAAAAAAAAAGGGGGGGGGGAGAAATTCAAACTTACCGTTCGGATGCATCGGTTCCGCACATTCTGGACAACAAAGATAAACTCTAGATTCGGATATTTCTATTCGAAGATATTGCTGGAAGCAATTGTAGCAAGATTTATGCGGACAAGTGCATAAATCCGGAAAGTATTCTATCGGTAACTGAGTCAAACACAGGGGGCATTCTTCAGTCTTGGAACTCTGGAAAACATCATTTAATTAATTAATTAATTCTTCTATATTAAAAATTTTTTTTGTAAGACTACTACTACTACTACTAGTACTCACTTTGCCCGCAGCTGATGTTCCTACGGAGCCTTTACTGGATGCTCTTTTCACGCTCAGGGAACCTCCGGCTGCAATTAAACCCGTTTTAGATACTTCTCCTTTTTCGATGTCTTTAGAAACATTTCCAGATCTTTCTCCTTGATATAGAGATGCAGAAAGAGAGAGAGAGAGAAATAAAAAAGAAAAAATGTTATTCTCATTATTATTATCATCATCATTACTTAATGAATTACTCCGACGGCGAACTAAGACCTCAATTACCTACCTGTTTGTTTAGTTTTCGAAGATCCTGGAACCGCTCGATTAAGTCTTCTCATAACTAAAGGACTAGAATAAAGCAGTCTTCTTAACGAGAACCTGTTGAGTCCTCTTTTTCTTTGATTGGCAGCATTGGAGCAAGTGGAGTAAGTGTCGGGACCCGAATCCCGCATTTTTTTCTTTTGCTTTTTCGACTCGTCCATTTTAGTCACGTCGACTAAATCATTATTTCTCATCAAAGCCTGGTGGAAAAAAAAAAAAAAATTAATTTTAATGAAACGTATGAGGGTTGAAAGGTTGGTTTGAAATGGCGAGAGGGAGGGTTGCTGAGGGGGGGGGGGTGTTGGCGACCTGCTCCTCAGAAGAGAAGAAAAAACGACTGATTCTCGTCGTTGACCGTCGTTCGATAAACTCAAAACGTTGGTTCCACCTATAACCGTATAAAACGACACCCATGACCCACTTTTTCTTAATGAAAAATAATGCGGTTAATTTACGCGTTGTAAAATTACGATGATGATGATGATGATGATGTAGAAATTTTTTTTTTTTTTTCATCAGGTTCTCGTCCCTCGAGCAAATCGCGAGAGAAAGAGCAAAAAAAAAAAAAAAATCAAAACATTTCCCGCCTTTACCCTCCCTCCCTCCCACCCACACTTCATCATTTTAACTTTTTTCTTTCTTTCTTTTGTTCCTAATAGAAGTTTTACGCGTCTTATGCGTAACGCACGTTTTTCTCTCTTTTCCTATCATCATCTTTTATTCTTCTGCTTTTTCTTCTTCTTCGATACGAGAGTTAAATCCATTCGAGATATTGCAAAAAAAAAAAAAACGCACACAACTCGATTGTATAACTTCGTGACTGAGATTAAAAACAACAACTCGAAACAACTTTTTCTTTTTTTTTTTTTCTTTCTTCAAATTACATTAGTTAATATTCGATACGATATCTCGAAATTATTAACTCTCGTTTTCATTAATAATAATAATAATAATAATGTATATATATATATATATATATATATATATATATATATATGCACACGTAATGATTTATTCCATCGGGATTATTTTCAAGAGAGAGAGAGAGAGAGAGATGACAAAATTCGCAACAAACAGCGATCAAGCAAACAGCAAACAGAGTGACAGAGCAAACAAAGCAAACAAACAAATTTAATTTTCTTTCTTTTTTTTTCTACCGCAAATCTCCTTTCCTCCTTTGTTCCTTCCTCCTGACAAGTGCGTAACTAATTCATACTCCCCCCCCCCGCACACACGTTCAAATAAATTCGCGATTCCCCCCTCTCCCCCCTCTAGAAATAAATCATGGAGGGGACCGTTTTAAAAATCAAGTTTATAAAAAAATTTTTTTTTTTTTTTTTCCGCATCGATAGGCAACGTTTTGCGCAACGTATCGAAAATTGCGTAACGACGTTGTCGCGTTTTCGCAATTCATTCCTACGGTGAAATTTAACGGATTTCATTTATTACGTTATCGAACGAAAAACCACAAAAGAAAGAGAGAGAGAGAGAGAGAGAGAGAGAGGGGGGGGGAAACTTTCGCGAAGGGAATTTTAATTGTATAAAAAATTATTAGAAAAGGATAAAGAAACCAAAGAAGAAAGAAGGAAAAAACGATATATATATAACGATTTATACGAGACAATTCATGACGCCTATTAATAATAATAATAATAATGAGTGTCCGAATGATATTGCGGTGGCTGATTAGATTCATTGAAATATCATCGATGATTCGCACGCACGCACGCACGCACGCACACACACACGTACACGCACGCTCTCATAAAATAAACATTTTTCCTTCCCTTCATATTATTATTAGGATTCTATTTATAATCCATTTTAATTACAAATTATCGACGACAATTTTCTCACCACGTCCGCGACATGTGCACAAGTAAAAGGACGTGGTGAATGATAATAATGATAACCGTACGACACGATTTTATTTGCTAAATGACGCCATTTTTATTATTAATTTTCGCATTATAGAAAAAAAAAACGATAAATCGTTTTATTTATATATAGAAAATAATTTTCCACGGGGGGGAGGGGTCATTGAATAAATCGATAACGAATTCTTTATGTTTTTCTTATTCAAATTCGACAGAGAAAAATCAAATAATAATAATAATAATAATCGATTGTACCCTTTCCTCCTCCTCCCCATCCTCCCTCCCTCCCTCCCCCCGAAAAAAGAACGTAAAAAAAAAATTAACGAATTTTAACGGTCGAAAACGATGATAATAAATTTCGAAAAAAAAAAAAAAAAATCTCGAATATTTCTCGATATATCGACGAAATTTTAATTTTATTTTTATTGTTTGTTCGTTCTCAAGGGCTTTGTTTGTTTGTTTGTTTGTTGATGCCCTACAAACAAATATATTCGTTATATTTCGCCCGAGAGAGAGAGAGAGAGAGAGCCTCTTTCGACTAAAAATAATAAAAATATTTGCCGGATCGAAGGATCCCCCCACAAAATCGTCACGGAATTTTTTCTACTACCGCACAATGTACAAATGAACGTCGTCATATCTTTCTTCGTTTTATTATTATTATTATTATTATTATTGTTTACGTATTTTAATTTGTTTTACGATTTGAAATTAAAAGAAAGAAAAAAGTTAATAATAATAATAATAATAATAATAATAATAATAATAATAATAATAATAATAAAATAAAAATAAAAATGGCCTACTTGTTCTAACGTCACCGAGTAAGAAAAAAAAATTATTATTATTATTTAAAAAAATATTCATTAACGAAACCCGAGCAACTTTTTTTTTTTTTTTTTTTTTCAAACAAAAACAAAATAAAAAAAAATATTATTATTATTATTATTATTATTTTTAAATAAAGTAAACATTAAAATGGACCGTTTAAAACAAATGCATCAATTATCAAAGATAGATATATTTTATCAGGGTACCGAAAACGAAGCGGAAGAAGAAGAGGAAGGAGGAGAAGAGGAAGAAGACAATGAGAGAAAGGGAGAAGTTTGGGAATGGAGGATTTCCGAAGATCCCGATGTGATCGCGGATATTGTTTTCAGCATGACGAGACTCTTACTCGAAAAAGTCGTGCCCTACGAACACAAATCCCTGACTTTGAAAAAAGCCGGAGAATGTTTGGGAATATTGGGAAAAATATGGAATTTATCGGAACATTCGTCTGCGGCGGCGGCGACGACGACGACGAACCCGAATGTATTCCCCCTTAACGAATTGTGCGATAAAGAATCGGAATGTAAACTCATGGACATGGAAGGCTACGTTGACGACTATCAATATTTACACATGGAAGCCAAAGACATGTGTCTCACGGACGTGACCATTCTACCAAAATATTTCGTCTGGTTGCTTTCCGTCGATCTGTCGGGTAATATAAATAATATTTTCCTCTCGTAACTAGCGCCACCACTTGACCAAAAAAAAAAAAAAAAAAACAATTTTAGGGAATTTATTAACGAACGAAACGTCTTGTCCCGTCACCAAACTTCCAAACATTGTCGCACTCAAATTGAACAGGAATAATTTCAACGATCCTTACATGCCCCCCATGAAACACCTACAGTACCTCGGACTCAACAACAACAGGATAAAATCCTTGCACAGAATATATCATCCCAATTTGGAAACTCTGGATTTAAATTATAATCACGTGAGAGATGTGGATCCGAGAGATTGTTGGAAATTACCCAAATTAACGGTATTAACCACCATCGTGAGCGCCAAAGCTTTCCTTCTTCCGTCTGTTGTTACGTCATCGTAATAATTATTATCATTATTGTCGTTTCAGCAATTGGAACTCCGCGGAAATCTTTTACAAACGACCGAAGGAATACAATATCAATCTCTCGTGAATCTTTACCTGGCACAAAATAAAATAACGGAATTGAGAGGATTTGAAATTTTAATCAATTTAGAAAGGTTGCATTTGCGAGAGAATCCCCTTTCGGATTTGACGGGATTCACGAAATCCAACGTCAAATTGAAATATTTAAACGTGAGAAAGTGCGAAATAGGAAACGTGGAAGAATTTAAAAAATTATCCGTACTCGCGGGACTCAAAGAACTCGTGATCAAAGGCAACGTTTTCAATGCGGAACCGGGCGAAGAAGCACAATCGGACGAAAACAACGAGAATGAAAGTGAAAATGAAGAACAAGATGGAGGAAGAAGAGGAGCAGAAGAAGAACAAGAAGTGGAAGAGGAGGAAGGCAAAAGCAAACGAAAAAACAAAGGAAATAAAACCGAAAACGATGATGATTACGGTGTTGGTGACGGTGATAAAACAAACGAAGAATCGGATATGGAAGAAGAAGAAATGGAAAACCGTTTAAAAATTTTAAGTTATTTACCCCATCTCCATAGAATAGACAAAAGAATCGTAACGGAAACGGAAAGACAAATGATGAGAGAAATGATTGAAGATGAGGAAGAGGAAGAAGAATAAGAATGAAATTGTAAAAATAGACGTGCGTACGTGCGCGCCTATGGGCTTTCTCACTTCTGGGTCGCGCTTTTCCTTTTTTCTTTCTTTCTTTCTTTCTGCATTAGGCGAAGAAAATTAACGAGATTCGACAGACGAAAAAAAAGAAACTCAATGACTTCACGTGAGATTAATGTGCACACGCACACGCACACCCACACGTATCGATAATACCACAATCCATTTACTTAATATACGACCATGCTTTTGGTTTGCCATTTTTTTTCTTTTCCCTCTCTCTCTCTCTCTCTTACTCCTCGCACTTATTGGTCCCCCGTTTTGTCTGTCTTTGTTTACGTAAAATCAGAAAAAACGCGAAACGCGAGAAGGAAAACAAAAACAACAACAACAACAACAACAACATAACGCTTACCTTTAACATGTAAAGAAAAATTAAAAAAAGTATCAACGTGATTAAAATTTGCATTGCGATATTATTTAATTTTCCATTCGATTGAGAATCACATAAGAACAAACGGAAAAAAAAAAAAATGAAAAAAACGTGAAACAAATAATAATAATAATAAAATTGATGCGGAAAATGACGTTCGATCACAATAGCACATACATACTAATAATAACAAAAAAAAAAACCATACATAATAACTTATTCATAAACAAACAACGAAACAAAACAAACAAACAAACAAACATTCCCTAGTATCGACACACACACACACATTCGTTAAAGGAAAAAAAAAAAAAAAAATGATTTCAAGGTTTCTAGACGGATTTTGACGGAAGGCAACCTCAACTTCGAGACAAAAGCAACGACGACGACGACGACGGACGACGAAGACGACAACGACAACAAAAAAAAAAAAAAAAAAAATTCCCTTACGTGATTTTATGTCAAAACAAACAAATAAACAACCAACAAACAATCTCGTTTCACGTGATGAACCGAAATCCCGATTCTTCCTTATCATCACACACACACACACACACACACATGCTTCCGCTCTAGCAGAATAAAAACAATTCGTGTGACACAATAATAATAATAATAAAGTAATTGGGAACTTCCAAAATTAGAATCGTGACGGGTCGATAAGGAGAAAGAAAAGAAATGAAAAAAAAAAAAGGAAAAAAAAGGAAAAACCAGAAAAACGTTACTCAAAGAAATCGAAATCTTCATATCCATCATAACTAAACAACAACAACAAACAAAAAAAAATAAGTTATGCAAAAATTATCATTATCATCATCATCATCATCATCATCATCATTATTACCTAATTTGGAATAAAAAAAAAAAAAAAATTTCTCATATTTAACCTAATTTGATATTTTTAAATTTCTACAATTCGATTCAATTTTTTTTTGTTTGTCTGTTTGTTTGTTTGTTTGCATTTTCATCGACATGAATGCATGCATGCACACAATTTGCAGTCTGCTTGTCTCCCTCTCTCTCTCTCTCACTAACATGAAAACAATCATTAACCATGCAAACGATATTTAAAATGGGATATTTATATATATATATAACAATCATTTCAACCGAATCACATTTAAAAAAAAAAAAAAAAAAATATAAATTACAACAACTGTATAGATAATAATCCAAAAAAAAAAAAAAAAAAAAAGAAGAGAAAGCTGTAATGAATGAATAAGTTTCCAAAATAATAATAATAATAATAATGATGATAATAATAATAATGATAATAATAATAATAATAATAATAATAATAATAATAATAATAATAATAATGATAAAAATAACTACCTGTTACAAATGATAACAGAGTCGAATAAAATGCATATTAAACAAAAATTTTTCAGAGAAAGCAAATCGTAATACACACACATACAAACACACACACACACACACACACACACACACACACACACACACACACACACACACACACTTTTTACACATATACATAAATGTGTGCATGTTCATATGTGTGTGTATATGTGTGTTTTTTTCGAGTTAATTTACCATAACATGAGAAATTAGGAAATAAGGTCATGCGACTACATCATCATTATTATTATTATTAAACATTATGATAAGTTGAATAAATATTAAGAGAAAATCATTATTATTTGTGTGTATTTTTTTTCCTTTTTTCCTTCTTATGTATTACTTTAAAAAAATGTTGTAAAAGGAAAAAAAAAAATACACACACACACACACAAATCACATTCGAATGATTACAAATCGATTCATCAAATGAAACAATTATATATGTAGATAAAAATTGATCAACGATTAATCTATAATAAAATAATATAAAAATTAATAATAATAATAATTTTAAAAAATCACAGAGTTTGATGTTATCATTAACATAAATGACACTTTTATAATTAATTGAGATAACGAGTGAGATTTTAATAAAGCAGAAGAAAATTCGATTGCTAAATTTAACAGCTAGGAAAAACGATTAAAAATTAATATTTCTTTTTACGATTCGACACCATCACCGAAAAAAAAAATTATTATTGACATCCATATAAATTTTAAATTGACCCAAATATATATATATACATGTAAAAAAAAAATGAATTGAAATTCACAATTTCACTACTGACCTGTTTCAAATTGAAATTTTTTTTATGTTTGCGAGTAAAAACTTTTACTAAATATTTTAATAATAATAATAATAATAATAATTTTTAATTTGCCATATCGACACATTCATGCGAAAAAAAATTATTATTATTATTATGGTGCAATAATAATTTTGTCCCTATTAAAAAAAAATTGATATTAATGGCTTTCACTTTTTAATCCCTATAGTTTTTTAAAACACATGAGCATGAGTGTATAAAAAAAAAAAAAAAAAATAATTAAAACAGCTTTCTCTCCTATGTAAATGTATAAATATATATAAATTACATAAATAAATTTCGACCCTGAAAACAAACACACACACACACAAAAATCAAATTGTCTGTTTAAGGACAACTAAACTAATCTCCATCTATATACTGCAATGTTTAAAATATATAAATAAAAATAATGATAATAATAATAATAATGATTTTTTAATAACCACATAACCAATATAAAGAACATTATTCGATTGTATCGTCGTTTTTTTTTTTTTTCGGGTAATAAAATCTCATTAAATTACAATTAATGAATAAAACAACATTATTATTATTATTATTATTATTATTATTATTATTATTATTATTATTATTAATTATCGAAATTTTTTTCTTCCTCCCCCCCTTTCCCCTCACCCCTCCTTCCCTTCCCACTCTCCCACTCACGAATCGAATTCCTATTCAAACAAGAATCGAATAGTTTACATAACTACTAATCATACTACGCCACGACCATATGCTCGTTTATTATATGTATATATGAAATACTATGTGACACGTATATACCCGAAAAAATATGCAATAAAACACACAAGAAAATTTAAATAGCACGTATAACGTAATAAAGATCAAAAATTATACCTGGTATTAATATTATTATTATTATTACTATTAATATTATTAAACTATAATAATCCTATGAAAATGAATTCGATGATATTCGCGTAACACTTATTTCACATTATTTAACTTGAATTTTTTTTTTTTTTTTTTATTTCACCGTTTCAATAATAAAATTAAATTACGAAAAAAAAAAAAAAAACGATAAACAAAAATATATATAATATAATATTATCGATAATATGTTTATTTATATACACTAAATCCGATTAATTAATTAATTAATTAATAAAAAAAAAATTCAAATTAAATTGTCATTATATATATATAGAAAAAAATTTATACGAAACATCATTAATATAACCTACATCTTTTTGCATTTAGAATGCAACTGAAGATAAAAAAAAAAAATCGTTTCAATAAGGCGGTGTTAAAAAAAGGTTATCGCGGAGGCTTTGATTTTTTTAAAAAAAAAGTATTCTGCTTTTGGTTAATGTGGTATCGTGAAGGCGCCTCAACCGGGGAAATTGTAAATAATGATTGATAATTTATATATTACCTCGCCATAATCGAGCGTTAATTTTTAATAATAATTCAAAGAAAATAACGATAAAAAAAAAAAAAAAAAAAACGAAAACGCCATATAAAAAAGGGTAAACAATTTTAAAATCATTTACCTATTTTTTAATTCATTTTCTTTCATTCTTTCTTTCTTTCTTTATTTGTTTTCGTTTTTTTTTTTTTTCTCTTTTTAAGAAGACGCTTTCAATTAGTACGTTTTGATTTAAATCGAATTTCAATTAAAAAAAAAAAAAAAAAAACATTTTGTGTATCATTATTATTATCATCTCGATCATAAAATTCTGTCACCCTAAACTGTTTTTTTTTAACACTCGTGTAAATCATATTATTATTATTATTATTTTTTAAATGTAGTAACTGTGACAATTAATTTAATTTATTATGTTTTTATAGGAAAATATTATTGTGGGTGATTGTGTGTGTGTGTGTGTGTGTAACAAAATTTGTTTTATCGGTGAGCAGAAAAAAAAAAAAAAATTTTTTTGTTTGTTTAAATGTATAGTTTCAATCGAACATAGTGCATGCAATTTAGTAAATTTTTTTTTTTTTTTTTTTTTTTTAGATTAATTGTTATTTTATACATTTCATTAGTATTAAAAAAAGAATGTGATTCGGTTACACAAAAAATTACCAGGTAAACAATTTTCAAAATTGGATTTTAACCTAAATTTAAAGTATAATTCATGATCGACAAACACACACACACACACACACACCTTACTATGTTTAATTCAAACATGTTTTCCCTAAACAATCCTTTAACGACAAAAGACAAAATGGAAATGTCAAAAGTGTTCATTCAACACTTGTTAAATAGCCACAGTTAAAAATTCACCCATTGTAAAAATAATAATAATAATAAAATGTGGAAATAAATAAAAATTCAGATAAAATGATACAAATGGTTTGTCTGTCATGTCGAGAAAAAGAGATTTTGGGGAAATGGAGAGAAGTCAACATCTGTTTTAGTTTCCCAGATTCTGGCCAAAGTCCAATTTTAAAAAAAGTCAAAAATAGAACAATTTAGTATTTAGTCTTACGCAGTCATGGACAAGTATCAGACGATAAGAGGCGGATTGCAAAGGAGTTCGGTGAGAAGTCGGGAATCGTATTCGACAAATGGTAGCGATCCGAGAGAAAAAATAAAAGATTGCTGTAGGAAATTGGTCGCGTTCATGTGCACTCAAGTCGGTGTCGGGGGTTTGATCGTGGGCTACGCAATAGTCGGAGCTTTCGGTTTCATATCGATAGAAGTCGTCGACGAAACGGAACAGGATAAATTTGTTAAAGATCTCATTGATTATTGTGCGGATAGACTTTGGGAATTGACGGCGTCGGAAAACATATTCAACGAAACCGTGTGGAAAAAAGAATCGGGAAAATTATTATTGGAATTTCAAAGGGAAATGACGGATGCCATAAAACACGGGTACGACGGAAGAACGAATCAAGATGTTTGGTCGTTTCCCGCCGCTCTCATGTTTTGCTTATCCATTTTCACAATGATAGGCTACGGTAACATGACGCCGAAAACACCCTTGGGAAAAGGTTTGACCGTTTTGTACGCGGCTTTCGGCATACCCCTCTACGTTTTGTATTTTATGAACATGGGTAAAATATTGGCCACGACTTTCCGTTGGCTTTACACTCGTTTGTATTTGTGCAGCGTCGAAAAGAGATTCGCGAGACACCGGGAGAGCAACACGAGCGTGACTTTGCAACCCCCCCAAAGAGTCATCGTTCCGTCGACGGCTTGCTTGTGGGTCATCGGAGGCTACGTCCTAACGGGAACCATAATGTTTGCCGAATGGGAAAATTGGAATTATCTCGATTCCGTTTATTTTTGCATGACGAGTTTGTGCAAAATCGGAATCGGTGATTTCGTACCCGGACAAAACATATCGGATTCGCGTGAGGGCAATCAAACGAAATTGGTAATAAATTTCATTTATTTGCTCCTCGGAATGGGACTCATCGCCATGTGTTATAATTTGATGAGAGAAGAAGTTCGCGTGAGAGCGAGAGAAATGAAACAATTTTTCAAAAGGTGTTTGGATGACGTGCAATCGGAAACGGTCGATCGTTACACGGGACGAAGAAATTAATTCATTTTAATGCGAAACAAAAAACAAAAAATGCGTACATTAATAATAATAATAATAATAATAATTTTTGTGTAGTCACGTGATTGAAATTCGTACGAGATTAAAAAAAAAAAAAATTTTTTTTTTACATATATATATATATATCGACAAACGGACAAAATGATAATAATAATAATAAACCGACATGTAAGTTAAGTTGCATATATCATCGTTTGATACGTTTCGCATTTAAAAAATTCGACACGCGTGTTTTTTTTTAATACAAATTCGCGAAAAGAAATAAATATTAAAATGGGGAGAGAAAGAAAGAGAGAGAGAGAGAGAGAGTGAGAGAGAGAGTGAGAAATTTAAATTTTGTTATTTATCAAATCTAAAATTAAAAAAAAACGTCAACTCTCGTGCCAATTTATAAGTACGACCTCCTATCATCGCGATATAAAAACTTTACAAGTTTCTATCTCTCTTTCTCTTTCTCTCTCTCTCTCTCTCTCTCTTTAAACACTATCCGGTCCCCCGTTACGTTTCCGGTTTTCCGAACTAGAAATTATTATAAATGTTTTTTTTTTTTTTTTACATTATTTAGATGGAGTTTTTTTCAATGGAAAATTGGACGTTGTAAATGGTCAAAAGATTATTATTATCATCATTATCATCGTTTCGTAATAATAATAATAATAATAATAATAATATTTTCTACGGCGGGGGTGAGAATATGAGAGAAGGTGGAGATAACATGGCATTAAAATTAAAAGGAGTTGTCGGATATAAGGGTCGTCAAAACGATGTCATTTACTGTCACCCGTTGGAAAAAACGGAAAGAACGGCGGCCGTCATTTATTTCGGAGGAGATATACAGGTACGATTTTCCACACGAAATACGAGAGAGAGAGAGAGAGGGAGAGAGAGGGAGTGGAGAAAACAATTTTTTTTTTTTTTTTTTTATTATTGTTTTTCCGATAAGGATTTTAGGGAAAACATGCAGTCGACGGTTGAAAAATCAAATAAAAAAGGTACCGTAGACGAAGATAATAAAAACTGTTTGAAATGGAATTTAGATCACGTGGCCACATTATTAGGTTCATCGTTTCCGACGAGTCACATAATTGTCGTGCGACCAGCGAGGTAAGTAAATTAAAGATATATAATTAATCAATCGGGGGGCCTTAATTGGAAACGCAATTTTTTTTTTTTTTTTTTTTTTTTGTATTATCAGGATGGAATTTAGAATGTTTAGTTGTTTTGATAATTTCGTACCGTCTAATAATTGCGGTGTACCTGAACACACTCCGACTCATTACGCACTTCATCACCTCGAAGAACTATTAAAATGTATATCGGACAGAGTGAGAACTAAAAAAAGGCCCGTGGATGATTCTGCTTTGGAAGACGGTGAAATTATGGGGGTAAGAAAAAAAGTTTTCTCAATGACGTAACCCGATCGATCGATCGATGGATCGAACGATGTATCGAAACGTTTATGTTGTCATTTCAGAGTCCCGAACAGGGGGAATGGTGGAGTCAAGATTTAGATTTGGATATGTGTAATTTAACTCTAATAGGTTTTAGCAAGGGATGCGTAGTTTTAAATCAGTTCATTTACGAATTTCATTATTTAAAAACACTCACCCCGGACAACGAGATACTAGGAAGATTCGTCGACAGGATAACCGACATGTATTGGTTGGACGGCGGTCATCCCGGTCACAAAAACACTTGGATAACGTCGAGGTGTCTTTTGGAAACGTTGTCCAGATTAGGTACGAATTCATTTTCTCCGATGGCGAATCCTAAAAGAGTAAGGTAATTAATTAATTAATTAATTAATTAAATTTTTTTTATTTAAGGAATAAAAATTCACGTTCACGTGACTCCATATCAAGTGAGAGACGAAAGGAGAGCCTGGATCGGAAACGAACAGAAAATGTTTTCGGAATTGTTACGAGCCGCGGGGGCGGAAATAGAAGAATCGATACATTTCGAAAACGAAACGCCAACGCTCCAGAATCATTTTCAAGTGCTCACGGCTTTTAGATTACATTGAAAATTTTTCCTTTTTTTCTTTTTTTTTTTTTTTAAATTCATTCGACAAAAGGAATTTGAGTCTTTCACGCGGAAAAAGGCGAAGGGGGGGAGTGCGCGCGATATGGGGGGGGGGAAATTCGAAGACTATTTATTTATTGAATGAATGATTTTATATCTCTATGAAAAATAATAATTGTAAGAAAAAACCGAAAGGAAAGAGGACGAAAAAAATTTTTTTTTTTTTTTTACTTAATAGTAGTGATGATAATAATAATAATAATAGTATTGTTAACATTTAAAATAATTCGAATAATAATAATAATATTATTAATATAATGAAATAATATTGCCCCGGGGGGCAATCGGCACTCACTCACTCACTCGTAATTTTCGGGGGGGGGGGCGAGGGGAAAGTAGATGATAATGTTAAAAAAAAATTTATGTGAATGTAAATAAATAATAATAATAATAACGTATTAATAGCAATACTTAAATAAATAAATAAATAAAAAATGTTTAGTGTGGTTAATAAACGATTGTTATATACCAAACAAACAAACAAACATCGATTCCATTGTTATTATTTTGATCTCAAAAAAAAAAATAATAATAATAATAATAATAAAATAAATTAACTTTTTAAAAAAAAATATAAAAAAATTATTTTTTAATTTTTCCCTATTAAAATCAATTATTATTATCATTATTATTATTATTATTATATTCGTTATTTTTAAATAATGTAAATAAAAATTTAAAATAAAAAAAAAAAAAATTGCGTCACGTTAAGACGAAAAATTGAAATTGAAAAAAGTTATAAATAGGTTGAGCAGCACCACATCCCCGTTTTTTTTTTTTTTTTTTTTTCAAATTCATTTTCGAATCGACAATAATAATGTTATGTACGATATTAATAATAATAATAACAACCGAATAAAATAAATAGGTGAGTATATATATTTATTAATTATTATTATTATTATTATTATTATTTTAATAACGCGAACGGTTATAGATAATTTTGTTTTGAGGGGGGGGGCAAGAAAAAAAAGTGAATAAAAATTTTAAAAGTGGAAAAAAAAAAAAAAAATGTCCGCGTTGATATTAAAATTTTTTTTTTTTCCCGATTGTTATTATTTAAATGATGATGATGATGATGATAATAATAATAATAATAATAATGATGGGAAAAATTCATTTGTTTTTTTTTTTTTTTTTTTTAGGTTAAGCGAATATGTTATCGGAATAAAAACTAAATTCTTTTTTTTTCTCTCTCTCTCTCTCACACACGCTCATTCTCTCGCACTCTCTCTCTCTCTCTCCTACCCGTTAATTAAATAACGTTAAAAATGGTTGAACTTACGTCACGGAGAACGTTGATAATCGGAATATTGATAGCCGTCAACACGGCATATTTTTTATCCAAACGGAAAAATGGAAAATATGGTTTTTTCCACATCGATTTACCGGATGTTGTTTGTTTTTCACCGAGTAAAATAGCCGTACCGTTAGAACAATTATCATTTTCGACGGCCGTCATCGTTTTGATATGCACGCTAAGTCACTGTTTGAGAAAAATCATCGAAGAACACGTTAGCGATTCTCTCATACGTATATTATTACAAGAAGCTGTCGTGTCAGCGGATCTTTGCGGATGCTGTTTCGAATTAATCATCGGTATTATACCTAAAAAAAAATTTTAATTTTTTACACACGAACGACACATAACTTGTGTTTATTTATATATATTCTAGTCGCAGACAACTTCGGTATATGGATGTATGGATTTTATTTATTTTTACTCACAATATGGTGGAGTAATGATTGGGGTAATGCAAATGGTGCACCTAACGTGCAATTGGACGATGTTGTTTTGGGAAAACAAGATTTACAATTATCATTGACTAAAATATGGGCACAATTAACCGGAGGAATATTTGTTTACAAGTAAATGATTAATATAAAATTACAATTACAATATTAAATAACTTATTAATTTGTGTGCATGCATTTCAGGTTGATGCAATATATATGGAGTTTAGAATTAATTGAAAATCATGAAAATCGCGCCTACGAAGATTGCACGGCAGATTTACAAGTAATTAAAATTAAATTTAAATTTAAAAAATTTAATTTTTTAAAAAACGCGCGCCTTTTTTTTTCTTTTAAGGTATCTGCATTGCAAGGTTTTCTAATAGAAGGCGGAGGAACTTTAGTCTATCAATTAATATCAAAAATAATAAATGATATGCAACCTAGGTACGGAACCATAATAGATTCTTTTATCGCTACAAGTTTCGTAATAGCAGGTAATAATTTTTTAAAAAATTACATTTTATCAAACGAGTAATAAAATGAGAAAAAAAAAAAAAATTTAACCTGGATTTATATCCGTTTTCCAGCTTTCGATAGAACCGGTGGTTATTACAATCCCGTTTTGGCAACATCGCATAAATTCGGTTGCGAAGGTAATACATTTAAAGAACATATATTCGTTTATTGGTTTGGTACTTGTCTCGGTTCGGCTTTATCCGTGTTTCTTTACAATCACACGCCTTTGAAAAACGTTTTCATCAATAAAAAAACGACGAAAAAGACAACAACGACGGACGAACAAGATATCGACGGATTTTGGGATAAATCCGATTGATGACGTCAAAAAGAAAAAATAAATAAAAAATCAATAAATAAATAAATAAATCAATCAATTTTTTTTTTTTTTTTTTTTTTTATAATCTGTGATTAATACGTACTTATATGATGGAACTCATTGTTACAATTATTGTTAATATTGTTCAAATTATTATTATTATTATTATTTAATTCATACGAGACTCGATCTGTTGTAAATACAATGATGATGATGATTTATTATTATTATTATTATTTCAATGCCAAATCGTTACAATATAATGATATTTTTTATCTCGTTATTTTGTTTCTTTTTTTTTTTATCCTGAAAAAATAACATAATGACTTATAGGTATATTTTATTCAGTAACTTTAAATACGAAAAAAACCTTTTAAAATTTTCTTCGCGTTTTTTTTTCTCCCTCTTCTTTTTCTGCCAGAGATTCCACGAAATGTTTTTTTTTTGTTACAGTTTCCATTAACTTTAAAAAAAAAAAAAAAAAAGAAAAAATTGACTGCACGATAAAGTTTTATAAAAAATCATTGAAACTATTTGTTATTATGTTAAAAAGTTTCGTGTTTGTTTTCATTGCCCACGGTTTTGACGTTTTCAACGATCTTATTTTAGGACCGACTTCATTTTCTGTCAAATCACTGTATACGAATGGAAAATGTTGAACTCTTCCAGTCGACCAAGCCTTTGGAAAAAAAAAAAAAGGTTTAATTATTTCATGAATTTTTTCCAACAGAAATGATTTAAAAGAAAAAAACCTACAATTGTGAGAAGAGCTCCTTCTTGAAAATTTTTTTGAAAATTTATTTTACAAGGCACTTCTCCAGGAAGTCCGTTTATGAAACAACTGAAAAAAAAAAAACAATAACGAGATATCTTAGAAACGAGGGGGGGGGGAGGGAGAAGGGGAAAAAGAAAAACGGAAATTAAGTAAACTTTATTTAAACTCACCAGGGGGATATTTTAAATATCGTTTCGATTTCAGTCCTAAATATTGCTACAACACTACAATCTTTAAACATGACGGCTAAATGATGACCTTTATTATCCCAACAAATCGAAGTAACCAAACCCCCGATTCTACCTTCGTCCGTTTTTGCATCAATGGGAGTGAGGTCGATTACGGGATGAGCGTTACAAAGTTCGTCCGATTGAAATACCGAACCGACAGCATCAAACGGAAGAGCGTATATTACGGGTTCTTCCGTTGTTGCAAACAAAATAACCGAACCGCAGGGACTCCAACAAGCCGTTTGAACTCTTCCTGAAATAACTGTCCATCTTTCTGAAATCCATTTTTCTGTTTTCCAAACCCTGAAATGTATTTATGTAAAAATGTGTTATTTGTTTTCATTCTACAAATTTATACAAAGAGATATTGTATGCAATATAAAGTAATATTAGTAAATACTGCTCATGTCATCGAGAAAAACATTTCGAATTCTACTTTTGATCTGGAATAGTCGTAAACATTTTTTTTTAAAATTTGGAATGGGTTTTTAAAAGCTAATTTAAATCTTTACCTGAAAGTCAATCTACCAGTAGCAGTAAATACTTTTGAAGAGTCTGGAGACCATGTTACAAAACTAACTCCTCCACCACCGAATCGTTTTAATGCGACATATTTTTCCATAGAGACATCCCATAAATACATAGAAGTATCTACAACTGAGGCGGTGAGTAAAAGATCACCCTTGGGTGACCATTCGACACTTGTCACAGGGGAATGTCCAGGTTGTTTTAAAACTTGACCGCAAGACATTGAAGGCCTGGTGACGACAGAGTTAGGATCAATCACCCAAACGATAACACCTTCTTCGCATCCAACAGCTAATTCTGAAGCAGAAAATGGTCTCCAAGCTAAACATGAAACCGATGATTGATTTTTACATTTAAGTATTGGAATTAATTGTGTGTCAGATGAATATATTCTAACTGAATCATCCCATGTGGCAACGGCTAATTTTGTCGTGTGAGGATGCCATTCCATAGCTCTGATCGGACTCAGCGACCAATCTCTTGTTTGAGACACTGCAGATATTAATCTTTCTCCCTTTCCCTGAAAATATGTACATAAATATATTTTATATAGTAATTTATGTATAGTTCAGTTTTTAGACAAAAAAAATTTCAATAACGATTTAAACGACTTACCCTCATGTGAGGATAAATGAAATTTCTCAATTTACTGATACCATTAACAACTTTAAGCAATTGTTTAGCTAAAAAAATGACACCAATGGGGGCTTCATTACATTTCAAATTGGCAGCCTCTTCCACAGCATCGGCAAATCCTTTTTCATACCAAGTACTTATGAGTTTTTTATAAAATACATATGTGACAGGCATAAAAATTCTATTTGTTTCTTCTCTAAGTGAAGGAGCATAATGTAATAGTTCACCAGTAATTATAACTTTGGGATGACAACTAACCTATACACATTGAATAGAAAAATTATTTTCATATATAAAACTCCGAAACGTGGCAAATGAAAAAAAATTAATTATTAAATTTTAATTACGTCCTAAATTTAAATTATTCATCGCGTTTTATAGCCAAAAATTACTTATTACGACAAATAAAGGCGGTTATAATTTACTGAAATCAAAGAACATTACTTACGGCTGACGTGATTTTATCAACGTTAGCACCTTCAGCGTCTACGGAATGAATTTTACCCTCAACTTCACACAAAGTTAGTTTTCCAGGAGAGGGTAATGGAGGAAATTTATCTAAAGAAGTCATTTTTAAAACAAATTAATACTTACAAAAAAAAAAAAAAAAAAAAAAAAACGTTACACGAGAATTAATACCGTTATCATTTTCGAAATCATAGAGTCTAATTCGTGAAAAAACGCGCGACCACTGTGATCGTTATTTTATAAAGTTGAGTTACACGTAATTTATTTACTCTATGGTTTTCATTTCGTTCATCTAAGAAAGTAAATAATTAAAGATATTATTTTGAAATTTCAAAATTAAAAATTTCAAGTGTAAAGCAATGATTCAATGTAAATTATTAATAAAATTTTTTCTCACATGACAAAAAATGTTTTCCACGTCTTTGTATCGTCAAAATTTATTAAAAAATGTTTGTTATAGAGTTAAATTATTAAGTAATTTAAAATGTCAAAAACAAAAATGGAAAACATTTTCAGATAATTACATGTCGTATCATGAAAAAAGAGGAAGCGAAATTAAAAATGTCGATAGACAATTGCCTACGTTAATTTACGTACAAAATCCAATAACGTGGTTTATAAATAAAATTGATTTTAAAATGTTAAAAAGCGCTTGGGATTCGGATTTTGACGAAGCTGAATTTAAACGTGGAACAATGCAGGTTAATATCATTTCCAATGACTCTTAGCAAATAACAGACAAACAGAGAAAAACAAGACAAAATATTATAACAAAATTTGACTACTACCTCCTATACATGACTTTTTTTTATTTAGGCAGTGTCAGTTATATGTACTTTAATATCGAAAAATTTATGGGAAAATTTAAGAGGTTTAGTCGCTCGACAAGCATTGGTAAGATTGCAAAGAGATGTCGAAGTTAATTGGACTGACCAACAAAGGAGAAATATTTTTTTAGATCCATCAGATATTAAATTAGCACTCACGAAAAAAGTACACTTTTTAAAATTGGCAGGTAATAAATTAATTAAAAAAAAAATATATATATATCAGGTGATTTTTACCTCCTTTTTCTTTTGTCCCTCCCTCTCTCTCCGGATTCATCACTTAAATTTATTATAAATTAGATAAGAAATTTGTCGATGTTGACATGCTTTTTGTCGGATTGAAATTTAAAAATAACGAACCTGCATTTGGAAATGATTTAGTCTTAGTCGAATTGGTCGCCAGATTTCATAGAAATTATTCACTCGGAGAAATCCCTAATTGGACTGTCACATTATTTAAAGTTACCCGATTTAATGGTACACCTTAATTCACCCTCTGAAATGGTAAACAATTACAAATTTCAAATTATTTAAATCACACATATTATTATTATTATTATTATTAAAATTATTTTTTAAAGTGTGTTAAAAAAAAAATTAATAAAATTACCTTGATGGAATACAAAAAAATTATTAGTTATTATCGTGAAATAAAAATAAAAATAATTAATAAATAATAATTAACTATTTTTTTATTTAATTAAAAAATTTATCTATTATTATTAAACATTCATTTTTTTTTTTTTTTTTTTCAAAAGTATATATTATTATTATTATTATT